TCATTAATTGTGTAATCAATGGGGTCATTGATGGAGCGCGATCCTGGCGGCCCCAAATCCTGATGAGAGTGAGTCCGAGGGGTCATTCGGTCATCTGAGGGGTCATTTGGTCATTCATGGGATCATTGGGTCATTTATGGGGTCATTGGGTCATTCATGGGGTCATTGGGTCATCTGAGTGGTCATTTGGTCATTCATGGGGTCATTATTGGGGTCATTGGGTCATTTATGGGGTCATTGATTGGGGTCATTGATGGGGCGCAATCCTGGCGGCCCCAAATCCCGACGAGAGTGAGTCCGAGTGGTCATTTGGTCATTCATGGGGTCATTTATGGGGTCATTGGGTCATCATTGTGGTCATTCAGTCATTATTGGGGTCATTAATGGAGTAATCAATGGAGCGCGATCCTGGTGGCCCCAAATCCTGATGAGAGTGAGTGTGGGGTCATTTATGGGGTCATTCGGTCATTTATGGGGTCATTTCATCATTTATGGGGTCATTGGGTCATTTATGGGGTCATTGGGTCATTTATGGGGTCATTTGGTCATTTATGGGGTTATTGAGTCATTATTGGGGTCATTCGGTCATTATTGGGGTCATTCAGTCATTTGAGTGGTCATTTGGTCATTTATGGGGTTATTGAGTCATTATTGGGGTCATTGATGGAGCGCGATCCTGGCGGCCCCAAACCCCGACGAGAGTGAGTTTATGGGGTCATCTGGTCATTTATGGGGTCATTGGGTCATCATTGTGGTCATTCGGTCATTTATGGGGTCATTTATGGGGTCATTGAGTCATTAATGGGGTCATTAATTGTGTAATTGATGGGGTCATTGATGGAGCGCGATCCTGGCGGCCCCAAATCCCGACGAGAGTGAGTCCGAGGGGTCATTTATGGGGTCATTCGGTCATTCATGGGGTTATTGAGTCATTTATGGGGTCATTGGGTCATTTATGGGGTCATTCGGTCATTTATGGGGTCATTCAGTCATTCATGGGGTCATTTATGGGGTCACTGATTGGGGTCATTGATGGAGCGTGATCCTGATCCCGATGAGAGTGAGTTTATGGGGTCATTTATGGGGTCATTCGGTCATCATTGTGGTCATTTGGTCATTTATGGGGTTATTGGGTCATTATTGGGGTCATTGATGGAGCGCGATCCTGGCGGCCCCAAACCCCAACGAGAGTGAGTGTGGGGTCATTTATGGGGTCATTGGGTCATTATTGGGGTCATTGATTGGGGTCATTGATGGGGTCATTATTGGGGTCATTCAGTCATTTGAGTGGTCATTTGGTCATTTATGGGGTCATTGGGTCATCGTTGTGGTCATTGGGTCATTTATGGGGTCATTCGGTCATTTATGGGGTCATTTGGTCATTTATGGGGTCATTTATGGGGTCATTTGGTCATTTATTGGGGTTGTTGATTGGTCAGGGGGTCATCCATTGGTCAGTGGGACGGTGATGGGTCAGTGAGGGATGGAACTGGACATTGACTGGTCACTCACTGGTCACTCAGTGGTCACTCAGTGGTCACTCAGTGGTCACTCACTGGTCACTCATTGGTCACTCACTGGTCACTCATTGGTCACTCAGTGGTCACTCACTGGTCACTCAGTGGTCACTCACCGGTCACTCAGTGGTCACTCACCGGTCACTCACTGGTCACTCACTGGTCACTCAGTGGTCACTCACCGGTCACTCACTGGTCACTCACCGGTCACTCCGGTCACTCTGGTCACTCACTGGTCACTCTGTGGTCACTCTGTTGTCACTGTGGTCTCTGTGGTCACTCACTGGTCACTCACCGGTCACTCCGGTCACTCATTGGTCACTCAGTGGTCACTCAGTGGTCACTCACTGGTCACTCAGTGCTCACTCATGGATCACTCTGTGGTCACTCTGTGGTCACTCTGGTCACTCTGTTGTCACTCATGGGTCACTCCATGGTCACTCTGTTGTCACTGTGGTCACTCTGGTCACTCTGTGGTCACTCTGTGGTCACTCTGTGGTCACTCTGTTGTCACTGTGGTCACTGTGGTCACTCACTGGTCACTGTGGTCACTCCATGGTCACTCTGTGATCATTGTGGTCACTCACTGGTCACTCACCGGTCACTCACCGGTCACTCACTGGTCACTCACGGGTCACTCTGTGGTCACTCACTGGTCACTCTGTGGTCACTGTGTGGTCATTGGTGTGTCACTCACTCATGGGTCACTCTGTGGTCACTCTGGTCACTCTCTGATCACACTGTGGTCACTCTGTGGTCACTGTGGTCACTCACTGGTCACTCTGTGGTCACTCTGTGGTCACTCTGTTGTCACTCTGTTGTCACTGTGGTCTCTGTGGTCACTTTGGTCACTCTGTGGTCACTCTGTTGTCACTGTGGTCACTCTGTTCACACTCTGGTCACTCTGTTGTCACTGTGGTCACTCTGTTCACACTCTGGTCACTCTGTTGTCACTGTGGTCACTCTGTGGTCACTCTGTTGTCACTGTGGTCACTCACTGGTCACTCACCGGTCACTCACTGGTCACTCTCCGGCCGCCCGCAGAGACCAAGCAGGAGTTGGAGGATTTGACCGCCGACATCAAGAAAACGGCGAACAAAGTTCGCTCCAAATTGAAAGGTGACGTCATCCTGGGCGGGGCG